GTTTTTCAAATGCCTTAACGATTTACACATAAAACTACTATTTTAGGCATGAAAAGCACTATTGCATTACAGTTTTGGAAAAATCAAACTACCATCTACTATAGTAGAAAATATGGGATTTTCTTGGAGCCTTTAACATTAACAAACCATTTTCATTCTTTTTCATATAAACATTGTCACTAAATACTTATGAACTCACCTGGTTAAATGCTGACTTACTCTTTCAAAACCACTTGTATTTCTCAAGGATTCAGTAATACAGGTAAACTGGAGCTTTTGAAGAAGGGATGCTGCGGTGTTACTTTAGTTTCATTTTAAACATCATATTGTAATTTATTTTGAAACAAGTACCTTTCAAACAATGTAAACTTTTAAATTATATATGTGATGGTTGTATTGCTTTCTTTACTATATATTCAATTGTTGCGATACTACATGAAGTCATCCACCCTCGAACGATTCCGCTGTTCTGGTTTGGGGGTGTGACAAGGTCTCTTAATCATTAAGATGATCATATAACATGATACTAAATTACTCTCCCATATTTTCAGATTTGAGAAACTTTTATCCTTTCTGCCTAATTTGATTCTTCTCATTCGTTCTACCATACATCGGAAATTTTCCAATGTATCAGAATTACACTTAAACTTGTAAGCGTAACCATATTTACTAAACTTTAGTAAAACATAATTAATAGTTTTATTGATATTTTTTCGTGAACTTTGACTAGTGCATAAATGTGTACTTGATCCCTTAGTCCTTCACTTGACTCACATATACATGTGAACAAGGAACTAGTCTTAATTTTCCCAACGCTGAAAGTTCTCATTCATCATACTGTACAACTTTTATGATTCCAAGTGTCTATCCAACTGAAAACTTGGGTGATGAAAAGCTTTCCTTATTTGGTAAATTTAGACATTACCACAAAAGAATGAATCAAATTCATATTTCCAATATTGCTAGAAACATACAAACATCAAGTTTTCATAAATGTCATTGCAAGAAGATATAAAATAAAACAAAAAAAACTTTTATTTATTTATAAAATGCGGAAAAAACTTTTAATTACAATGCAACTTTAAATGAAAACTATGCTATTACATTTTTCCTAGCAATCTATCATAACTCCTAAGAGTAGTTCCAGAATCCGATCTTCAATCAAGCGATAGAAATCCATATTCACGGTTTGATTCAGCATACTCTTTCTTTAAGTTTCCTTCACTTTTCCTTTTATTCTTAAAACATCAACATGTAACCAGTCACATCATGTAATAAGAATCTCAGAATAGAAACTTAATCGAGTTAGATAGTGGACTTTACCTGAAGTAGAGTCAAACTTATTGACTTTACCAGCATTATGATCTTTCAGGTAAATTTGGCAGCTTCGCAAACAATGCCCTTTCCTTTTGGCAATAGAACCATATGGACCCTTTGGGAATGGTACATGGGACAATCTCAGACTTAGCCTTTCTCTTTACCATTTGGTCAACCAAGGTAACTATGGCCAATCCATTTCCATCGGGAAGAGAAAGCTTTTAATGGGTATCTAATGCAACCATTGTCAATGTCCATTGAAGGTTTGGAAAGTTGATCTACTAATCAAATTTGCTTTACCAAAGCTCCAAATCATTGCTGATTCAGCAGTACCAAGCAAATAGATAAGATCATATAGGGTCATGTCATAGTCTATTTCATAGTAGTCCCAAAGGTAACTCACTATGTGACTTAGAAAGTGATTGGACATCCAACTTTCTTAAGACTTTGACACCCAAATCTCCCGGATTGTTAATATGTGACTTCATCTCCAATATGTGAGCACACATAGACCTGGCTTGCCATTAGGGCTTGAGTGACCTTGAACATGTGGGTAAGGGAGAATAATTGGAGGAGGTGGAGGAGGTGAAGTTTCAAGAAACTTGGACTTGGGAAGATCACAGATGTCTGAACCAGACATTTTTTGGGAGATATTCAAGATAGTTGATATAAATTCCTTAATATAACACTTGATATGAAATATTAAGGCTAGGACCCAACACATTATTTTATAACTTAGAAGAGGGATGCCGTAATCCAAGCTATAAAATATTTGAAGGTAGGTGAATGACGATTCACCAATTTCCACCATGAAAAACAAAATAATTTATTAGGTCTTAATTGGAATTGATACTCCTAGATCTTTTGAGATTCATTGAACTTTTCAATGACATGTTTCAATCTCGATTGTGTCCTCTTAAGTTTTGTGATTGGGATGTCGAGGATCACAAAACAAGGTGTGAATAACCATGAAAATATACTTGGTACCCTTACTATTTAACCCTTAATCGATGTGTCGGTTAACCACACTCGCTCCACCGATAGTATGATAAATATTAAGTTACCCTTCGTCTACCTTGTTAAATCAAGCTAGTGTGTCGATTAACCACACACGCTCCACTAACCGACTTAAGCAAAGTGTAAAGTGTAATTTCATGGGTTAGCACCAAATTCACATTTTCCTAAGTAACTAAGATTGTGTATTCACCAGAGTTTAGTTACTTAGTATTTATCATTAATACTTTTAATGAAGGGAAAATTATAGTCATTGTCATACTCGGTCGGCTAACGACCCTCCACCAGTCAAGGAAGCGGTGGGTATGAGCGGACACGCATTAAACTGTCATTTTATAGGCAGTAACCTTATACCGCTTTATAGACCGGCTTCGTGAATGAGGCCTACTAACGATAAGACTGACTTGCTCTTATACACACACACACACACACACACATATATATATATATATATATATATATATATATATATATATATATATATTAAACTTATAATATTATAAAGTATAAGGGTTGAATTTTAACTTTTAAAATTTTAAGAGTTTAATTTGGAATTAAAGTATACATAAGGGGGTATCTTTACAAATTCCAAATCTTGAGGGCAGGTTTTGAAACTATTCAAGACTTTTCATTTCATAACTTATGAGTTTAATTAAAGTATTAAAGACTTTAATCAAAAGACTCATGAACATTCATAACTTGAGGACAAGTTATGGAGTCATAAGACAATTTAATGAGGAAAAAGACTCTTCATTTTGTAACCTATGGCAACTTTTATTAGTTTTAAGATTCATAAATGTGACTTTTCATATAACTTGAAGACAACTTACAAAAACACATTTGATGAACTTCTTTTAGATCAATTTGGATTAAAACCAACTATCACATAATTTTTTCATTAATCTAAATTCACTCATAAAACAACGTAACACAAAAAACTTTTGGTGATCCATAACTTATGGAGTTAAATGCTTGTTTTATGATGAAACTTTTCATGTTCCATAACTTAAGAATAAGTTAAGGAATTCTTTAAAACATTAACACCAAATTTTGTAACTCCACATAAACTTTGAATCAAATTGTTTTAAAACCTTTTCATATCCATAACTTATGAAGGTTTCAAAAAAAACTCTTTAGACCAGACTTTTAAAACTAATAAAATAATCATATCATTTTATCTATTACTAAGTTTCACCTAATTCAACTCATATAGCAAATTATTCAAATTTTACAAATAATTACTTTTTCACAAAAAAAAAAAAAAAAAAAAAAAAAAAAAAAAAAAAAAAAAAACATGGCTCTGATACTACTGTTGGGTTATGAGCATTTTAACACTCCTAAGTGTACATGCAACCCTAAACACCTTAGATCTATTTTTTTCTCTATTATACATGCAAATATGAATATTCCAAGGTATTACCCAAACTAGCATACAATCTTTTGATACTTGGGTAATATAACAAGTTAGAAAACATACCTCTTGATGTAGCTTGACTCCATGATGCTCGAGAGCCTAGTGCCCCATGTGTGACACCTCAAATGGTTCACACAACATCATCAACACTTGGAATCACCATGAAAAGAAGACACTTAATGCTCAAATTGGCTAGCCCTCATATATGTATCACTAGTGCTAATTTCTTGAGCCAAAGGGGTCCTTATATAGTATGCATATTAGGGTTACACCATGTAACCCATGACTTTACCCATTCCTTATGCTCCATGGGTTTTAACCTCCATGGGGTATTCATGAGTCACCACATAGGTTAAACCCAACATAAGGAATCATGGATCATAAACTCATATATATAAGAATGAACGATTTACACAATCAATCCCCATATATTTAATTAGTCTCTTTTGATCACTAAATTAAGTCCAAATTAATTCTATCAATACTAATTAAATAACATGATTTCATATTAATATATTAGAACTTATAATATATTAATATTTCACAAATGTCCTCTTCTCACAAAAGGTCTATCCATATGTTCTGATGCCATGCAACCAAAATGGACCATGTCGAGTCGGGTCAAGTACATACCAATTATAGTTATGGACTTAGACACTAATCCAACACTTCCACACAGGCAACATCATTCTCGATGACAACTCCAATTTCAAACTTATCGGTTCTATTCCTGAACCAATGCTTCGTGATATTTCGGCATCAAGCAAGAATCTTCTAGCATATCGTAGTTTGGCCCTCTCAGGATATCACCCCTTGAAAGATGAAATGCGAAAGGTCCTTGAAGAAGAGGATAAACCCAAGAAGGAAGGTAATAAAAAAGGCACAAAGGTTGGTACGTCTGAACCAGCCCTATCTCTAAAGAAGAGTGGGAAACGAAAGTTTGCAGCTAAACCGTCTACACCAACTACAGCTCCTAAGGGAAAGAGAGTCAAGAAGATGAGTCATCGACCATGAACTCCAACTCCAAGCGATCACGAGGATTCACAATCTCAGACAGTTTCGAAGGTTCCTATATAAACGGAGGTTTTCAACAAAGAAGATGTTTCTTCTCAGCCGAAGGTTTCAGAGCCTGCAACTATGATTCTTGAGGTATCAACTACAATGCCAACTTTAGTTCCCATTCATGAATATTTTTCCAAACTTTTTCTATCCTTTCTCCAACTGCCACTATTTCAAATCCCATTATGATTTTGCCATGCCCACTGGGTTGTTGGGTGTTTCGCAATTCCAACCTCCACTTTTCACCGATTCCACTACCACCACCACTACCTCCACTATTGATCCTCCAATAAATGTCAATGCATCTAATACGAGGACAAGTGATTTGGGACTTCTAGTTGGTAATACCTCTCCACCCATCTCTCCTTTCACCCAGGATGATCCAGACACAATCTTTAGCGGTGATGATGACGACTTCGCAAGATTCAGTTACAGTCCATTTAACATTCAGACTGAAAGTGATCACGGAGCTCCCATCACAAGAGGGAAACTCAAGGCGATAAATGAAAAACTCAATTTATTGCTTCAATCATCCAAGGCTTCATCTTCTGAGGATTATTCACAAGTGACAATCAAATCGTTCCTTGAAACCTTTACGAAAGAGCATTCTGCCAACCTTGAAAAGACAAACAAGGCGTTATATACATCTGCTTCTGTGTGCAATGAAATGATAGAAAAAGTTGATAAACTAATTACCGATGCTTGTTCGTTTATAGAGAAATTCCATAGTTCCTGTTAGTCCAACACCGCGAAGGCTAATGAGGTTATTTCTAGCCTAAGGTCAACTCTCAAAACCGAGAAGGTGAAACTTCAAGAAGTTCGCGCTAGTCTTCAATTAACCATGCTGATTTCAATTCCTCCATTTCCTTGAAGATCACAATGTGTTAGGATGACTTAGCCATGGAGAGAAAAATCATGGACGCACATGCTATAAAGACTGAAAAGGTGAAAGTCTTGATAGTCAAGTTAGAGAATTCTGAAAAACGAGTCAATGATCTACTATTTGAGAAAGAAGCTATGAAAAGTTGTATAATAGATTTCTATGGACTGCTTTCAGATATTATTGAGACTCATGACTCAATGATCACGATAACGGTCAAGAAGCTTCTCTCTGAGAAACTCAAGCCTGTGTTTACCATGCTCAATCGCCTGGAAGGTGTTCCAGAATCAAGCTCTATTCCGAAACAAGGGGGAGATTGTGTGACACAATCCAAGAAGGACGACCCCAAACCTTTAATCAAAAGCACTATCAAGCCCAAAAGCAAAACTGAATCAAAAGTAAAATAAAATCTTTTTAGTGAAGAACCGAAAATCGATAATAGTGAAGATGAAGGGCCTAATGAAAATGAGCTGAAAAGAAGAAAAGAACGTGAAGCTCAGATAAATGAGCATCAAAGAATAGTTCGCAAGGCTGAAGAAAAGGAAAACGCTAAACGCGAAGCTCAGGCCATGCTGGAAAGCCGAAAGCGCTTTTTTCTAGTATGGACCTTGAATCGAATCATGAGTAAAGTTGTTGATATGCCAAGTCAGTAGTGGTTGGAACCAGTTGTGGCATTCGAACTTCAGAATACACTAGATTCACAACTGGAACTTCCGATCACTCCGGAAGCCTTTAGGTTTCGCAGCTTTGTGGAAATTGTGAATATCCCAATAACTGACAGTGTGTTGATCACTTACTCCTCTCCTTCAACCTGTAGCATATGAAGCCACAATACGAGACGTGTAGTGCAACAAAGATTACAGCTGTGAAGGTCACTGGTCTATTCGAAACTGAAAGCTTTCCAAATGCGAATTTTAAGGTTTCGAGAGGTTCGTCCATTCAGGTCTACAAATTCACCCTCACTAATCTTCCATGCCTTAACTCATATGATTGGATCGTGCTTTACAACTTGTCGCTAAGAGATGGACAGAAGTATGAGCCCGTTATTGCTCACCTCAAACAGATGATATTTCATACATTTATGAGTATGCGCAGATGGATGCTGAAATTGATGCCATGTTACGAAGGAAGCCAAGTGTACTTCCTAAAAATAATCCTATTGGTTTTGACAAGATGAGACCTAGGAAGATACAAAAGAATGAATGATGTGTAGCTTTTCAATTGAAGGAGCGCATTGAAGCCTACTTTCACAATGTTTATTTCTTTCTCGATGACAAACATTTATTCACCACTTCATGATTGGAATATATCTTCGACCTCATTAGTAAGTACAAAGGGAACAACAAGAGTGATAAGAAGTGGTTTTCGGATATGATTCTATGGTATATCCAAGTTCATATGGTTTCACTGAGCGTCATTCCAATTTTTTTTGATGTACAGATGTGAATCTAGTCGTGAAAGACTCTCTCCTCAATTGATGCAAATGGGGGAGATTGTTGCATCTTTGGGCCTTTTTCTTAGTGTTTTGTATATCTGGGTTGGGCATGTCCACCCTACATGCCTCTAAAGTAGCAGTTCTTCATCGAGCTCTTCTAAGGCTATGATTTATAATCTTTCGAAATATTCTTGACTCATGTTCTGTTTTTGATTTCTTATACTTGTTTGAATCTAATCGATCTTAAGAGTTTTCAACTCATCATATTTAATTATAAATCAAGAAGACTTTTGTGTTTTATACAAAGCTAGTGGGAGCACAGTAACATTCCTAGTCTTATATGTAGTTGACATACTAATACATGGAATAAAGATCTAGATAGATAGATCATGGAAACTTAAAGGATTAAGTGAAATTGCATTAATTGACAAGGATCTTAAAGAGCTTAGGATAAAGGACCCTTAGAGAGTTATCTTGTCAAGTACCACATGACATGATTTTTATAAAAATCCTAGTGAAAACGTTTTTGAATTAGATAATATGATTGTATTCCATACACTACTACAACTGGATTAATCATATATGTCGTGATTATGCATAAAGGACAAATAAGTCATATTCTTAGAGCATGTCGAAGATACCAATATGATCTGAGAATAAGTCATTGTATGACTTAATGGAACATTCTAAATTGCTTTGAGAACTAGTGGAATCTTCCTAATCTGTAAAGTACTTGAAAGGAAGATGTCTTTAAGTTGTTTCATATATGCTAAACTTACAAATAAATTGAGATGTTTCTAAATCGAGCGTGTCCTCATGATGAATGAAGAGAAAGTTACATGGATATTGTATCCATGTAGATTTTAATCATAGTTACACATCAGGGTTAGAGTACATTGTGTTTTCGAGAACCACATACAAATATGGTTAATGTATAGTCAAGGTTGTATCTTTGAACTCTTAGACCTCATCAAAATCACTTGATGGATCGCTGGGTATGACATGAAGGTTGTATCTTTGAACTCTTAGACCTGAGATAAATATTTAGGACTTGCTTTGACATGTTTGAACCTTGTTCCATAAAATAAAGTCATAAGGACCATGGTTGGGTATGACATGAACTACATTGACGGGAGTATGTAGTCGATAGGGGATTTGTCCCTCTTACTCATTAAGAGTTAGACATCTAAGGCCTTACTTAAAGTTGAACACTAATTAAGATTGACCGTGATCCATATCTCATGTTCAACATAATTTCTAAGACAAAGGAATAATTGATATCACACCTTTAGTAAAAATTGTAGCTTAGAGCTCATGGAATAGGTTGTTAATGAGATGGCACCCTTCACATGTTGTTAGGTGCAGTAGTTCGTTGCTAGATGCCAACTACTGACTATGTCAGTCTATAATTAATTTTGTGCAAGTGGGAGATTGTTGAATCTATATGCCTAAGAATCAATATTGAGTGACATTACTAATAATATATGATCCTATAGGGTCACACCTTTATCAAGTTGGCATATTTTGTATATTTATTATTAATATGATTATTATTAAATAATATCAATTCCCGTGTTTTAATTAGGGAATAATTATTGTTTTGTGATAATAATAAATATAAGAGAGTATAACTAGTTATTATTTCATATGGTATGAAATAATAACTCATGTACAACATTTTGAACTAGTTGAATTCTTGTTTCTTTTACCTAAAGACAAAGTTTATATTTTATAACCTTTAAGTTTATAAAAAATTAAAGAACTCTTCTCTTTTCAAGAGGTACAGCCGAAAATATTAAACAACGACTGAAATTGCTAGTCAACCTCCATTATTTGACGTCCCATGCTTCTAAAGGCTAGTATCACTTTAGAGTATTTTAATGTAAAGCCCTTACCTTTTCCTATGTATCTAAGAGAGTTTTTTGCATGAGTTTTTGGCTTGTTTTTCTAGTGAACTCTCTCCATTATCCATGTGCTGAAACTCCTCTCATTTCTCATCCTCTATCTCTCTCTTTTGAAGTTAGTTTGGTGGTTTAAGAGCTTCCTTGAGTTGTCTCCTATAGTGCTTATGTGAGTTAAGCACTTAAAGGATTAAGATAGTCAAGAATACAAGCAGGAACTAGCATTCTAAGTGTCTAAATCTTGATGGTGGATACACATAGATAAATCATATTCTTTGAATTTTGATATCTTCATCAACACCCCAAAACCAAGTGGGTTCAAATGCTTTAAAGGTTTTCATTTTAAAAACTCTTTCGTAGTTTTATTTCATTCTAACCTCTATAAATGGATCCATGATGGTTTTGTTTTGTTATAAGCTAAAAATAAACTTGTTATTTGTAAAGACTTTCGTTGCTAATTTTTGTGAAATAACCAAACTTATATTTTGTATCAAAACCCATCAATACCTATGTTGGAGGCTAGGTTGGGTGTCACTCCGGTGTCCATATACCAATTGGAATCAAATAGATCAATGGACATTGCATTAAAGGCTTGAGAAAGGTTAGTGGCTTGGTCATTAGAGGCAAGAGGGAACCATTCCCGATGTCATGAGAGTAAAGATAAGTCATTATGGAAGGCTTTAGGTTTTTACAAGTACTCAATTTTTGGTTTCCAATTTGGCGCAACACATTTGCATGCGTGTGCACCGGGGAATCGTAGATGCACTCCTAAGACGAGGGATCATGCTTTTCATTGCGTTGTTAAATCGCTGATGGTGGTGGAATTATTCATCTGTAAGATTTCCATGTAAAACCACTTGACATCCAAATGAAGCCATGGAGACTGTTTTCGTTGAGCACCGATTTACTAAGGGTTCAAATTGGAGATTTTAGTCGAGCGATTGTTGTATCCACCATTATGAGCATTGTTGATTGGGGCTATTAGTGAAACTTGAGAAGATGTGTTAAGACTGCAGATGAAGAAAAGTGGTCATGATTAACCGAAAATGGCATTTACACATGATTCATGTGTTGTTCATCTAATAAAAGCATGGAACGAGCATGTAAGAAAGTGGGGAATGGGTTCCGATAACGAATCACACTAGCGATGTTATCATGTTTTCCAAGGAGATTGTTAATTAAATAGGTAACAAGATTGTGTTTGGGAATCGGGACATCAATGTTACTGAGAAGGCAGTATAATAGATTTATTTTCTTAGAATAGTGAGTGATTCACCTATCACCAAGAACCATGGTACATAGCTCGTTGTCTAACTATATATCACGAGATTTTTTGTTTTCACTAAACAATTCTTCAAGGATAATCCACACAGATCAAGTCGTAACCCCTTTTTACTATTATGTTGAGAAGAGAATGTGTTATGGTGTCATATATCCATAATCTTACCAGTAAGTATAACTTGAACCATCCAACATCTTTCGGTCCAATACGATTTGATGAGCCATTGAGAAGTGTGACAACACCATACATGAGCCACTGAGATGTCTAACAATGTCATGCACGCTCATTTAAAACCGATATAAATACATGTAGAATACATTGGGCTATACTAAATGGAGTAAATACAAGATATTCAAAATATGGTCCTAACCTATACAAAATAAATGTACAACAATGTAATGCACGAATTGTATTTCCTCATGTGCAAGTGTTTTGGTGGTTAATTTATCCTATTAATGACTACAAGTCTACGACCCTATTGGTATATACAGGGTTCTCAAGATCAAAATCTTACTTAAGATATTTTTGCGTTTGCAAGATCGTAATTGTAAGATATGATTGAGATCTAAAGATCCTACCAAAATGAACTCTCATTCAAATTTGCTCATAAGATATTGGTTGGAGGTATACATTACAACTTGATGTTGATTAAGACGACGCTAGTGGAATCAACTTTAATTTATTAACTATGAACCATAATTTTTGTTGCTACAAACCATAAAACTTAATAAGAAACATCTTAATTAGATAAAAAAAAATCATTTTCGTCATGTACAACTAAAGACATAAGATCTCATTCAAATAAAAAAAAAAACTAATGATATAAGATCACAAAGGGATTTGTTCACAAGATATTGGGTGGGAAGTATACATTAAAATTTGATGTTAATTAACATGTCGATAGTGGAATCAACTTTAATTTCTTAACTATGAACTATAATTTGTGTTGCTACAAACTATAAAATTTAAGAAGAAACATATTAATTAGAAAAAAATCATTTTCATTATGTACAACTAAAGACATAAAATCACAAAAAGAGATTATTATGAGTGTGTTCCGCTTAATTCGAGATGACTTTAAGAAATGGTGATGTTCTATAGGACTTCTTGCAACTTAAGATGCTCGATTTCAAGTTGAGTAGATGAATATTTGAGACTTAGCAATATAATAAACCTACGGAGATGAAATCGGTATGGTAGTGTTATCAGGACTGGTTCATTTATAGAATCTTATAATTGTAAGACTGTAAGTTCAAGATTGGAATTTTGACAACCGCTCATTGCCTTAAATTTGGAGACAATAAGGCTAAAATAAGACCATGTTTGAAGGATAACATTTCATTTAACCTGAAATGGATCCACAACCTCTTCAAAATGAAACTCTCACATTGTATATAGTTTTTTTTATTGAAATGATGCTAAACTGTATGATCATCTTTGAAATTTCTTGTAACGTCCCAAAAATCATAGTAAAATTGTTCATCTTGAAAAGACTAATCCATACGCACAAAAGTTACCAAAACGTTGTTTACAAATCATAATACCTCAAAACATTAAAT